TTTCAGCTTAGACGTGGCCTTCCCAGATGGGGCTGGAAAAGAGAGAGGCACATGGTATCCCCTGGGCAGGTCTGCGTTTGGTCCCTGGTCCTGGAATAAGAAATCTGGAGACTTTGCAGTTCTGTTTCTTATAAAGAAAAGCTGTCTTGACTGATGGGCTTTGGATTGTATTTTGTTTGCTAGAATTTTCAAGCTACAAATCCTGCCAGGGTATAGAAGTCTGTAATAATAATAATAATATTCTTTCTCTCCCCGTGCAACAGTTCTTTGCACTTTACTGATCTTTGTCTCTTCCCGACGAGTAAAGTCTTCTCTGAAAATGTTTTATCTCTTCTCAGCAGTTGTTCTGACCTTTCCTTTCACTGTGTTGTGTGGTTTCTTTTGGTTTTTTTTTTTATCTGTTGGATGTTTAATAGTAATCACCCTCCTCTACTTAAAAATAAATAATTCACTGTCGTGGGTGTACAAAATAATTCATGGCCAAAGCAGTTTGCTATCAAGTAGCTTTCAGCGTGCTTTTTATCACTTCTCATTTTGTTCTGCCCTCCTTTTTCATCAGTGCTTCTAAGGAGCTGGGAAGTAGGATTAAAAAAAAAAAAGGTAAAATAAAAGTATCTCACTCTCTTATACCTTATTACATGCCTAGATGCGTGCAGGGGCTGTATTCTAAAAAACAGAATTAAAGTTTCTGCTGTGCCTTACGTAAAAGCCAGCTCAGCCTTTGTGGTGAACTTCAATAAAAGCAGGATTTGGACGTTATCTGGGTCTTCCCGGTACCCGGCGCTGCTGCTGCCTCCCTGTAATCTCTGGCGTGCTGGATATGAAAAAAATCTAGAAACAGAAGGTTTCCAAACACATTTGCCAGGGTTAATGCCAGAGTCTAAACATAAACTCTGCCGGGACAGGCTGTTGTTGGGAGAAGGACGTGCCAGCCAGAGCTCGGTGCGAAGGATGGGGAGAGGGAAAGGCAGCTCCTTTTCCCAGAAACAGGCGGCTTGAGGATCCCGGAGAAGATGCTCTTCTGCTTGACCCTGGTCCCCATCAGCTGCAGCTGGGACACTGTTCCCTGGTGTGTATAATCTCGTTTACAGACCCTTGGGAAGTGTTATTTGGGGAGCAGGGCCGGGCACAGGCGCTGCTTGGTTTGTGTTTACCGATAGGTTCAGCCACTGCTGACATATTCTGTGATGGACTTCAAGGAAAAGTATTTTCCGTGTTTTTTCTCGACGTGAACACTATGAGGAAATACCCATAAAAAAATTATAATCAAAACTTCACAACTTCGTGGCAAAAATCCTTTATTGAAGTTTTAAAGTGGCATTGCTTATTGTTGCCCGGGTCGTTATCTTCAGAAACAGTTGAAGCAGCAAAATTTCACTGAAACCTTTAATTCTGCAATTGAGTAACTCCTGTCAGTAACTCCGTTTCTGTGATGGACTTCAAGGAAAAGTATTTTCCGTGTTTTTTCTCGACGTGAACACTATGAGGAAATACCCATAAAAAAATTATAATCAAAACTTCACAACTTCGTGGCAAAAATCCTTTATTGAAGTTTTAAAGTGGCATTGCTTATTGTTGCCCGGGTCGTTATCTTCAGAAACAGTTGAAGCAGCAAAATTTCACTGAAACCTTTAATTCTGCAATTGAGTAACTCCTGTCAGTAACTCCGTCTCAGAAAGCCGTCTGTACCGAGTGGCAGGGTTTGCTAAGCAGGAAAAATGAGGCATTTTTAGCCAGTTCCTCTACTTTAAGCCAGATTTATTTATTTCTCGTTAATTCACAGAATCACAGAATCTTCTAGGTTGGAAGGGACCTCAAAGATCATCTTGTCCAACCGTCAACCTGACTGACAAAAATAGACACCCACACAACAAACAAGGAGCATCATCACTAAACCAGACCTCCCATCCAGTTCCTCTAATTTCAGCCAGATTTTATTTATTTCTCGTTAATTCCTTGACCTCTGCTTTTTGCATAGTGGAAGAAGAAACCAGTGAAGTTGTACCTAGAGAGGATGTACGAGTACCATCGCCACGAGTTTGGGCCAGTAACGACGATAACCATCAGTGACCCAAAACTGGGAGGTTTTGGGCTTCCTGGGAGGTTTGAGCTTTCTGGGGAGATGTTGGTCCGTGTTTATCAAAGTTTATCTGTTTGATAGAAACCGTGTAATTCAATTCCTTGACCTCTGCTTTTTGTGTAGTGGAAGAAGCAGCCAGTGAAGTTTTACCTAGAGAGGATGTACGAGTACCATCGCACTGAGTTTGGCCAGTAACGACGATAACCATCAGTGACCCAAAACTGGGAGGTTTTGGGCTTCCTGGGGGGTTTGAGCTTTCCGGGGAGATGTTGGTCCATGTTTAGCAAAGTTTATCTGCTTGATAGAAACCGTGTAATTCTTACAATGGTTGTCCTCTCCAGAGCCTTGTGCCCACTCCTTTTAAATGGTGACAGTGTTTGAAGGAGGAGGGCTCTTCTATTTTTATTCGAGGGCTGCCTGCGAGCAGGCACGCCGGGCACTTGCCAGCTGTCCCAGTTGTAATTTGGAGCTGGCTTGGTATGGAATTCTTGTCGGCAGCGTAATGAGTTGGCAGCAGGAGCATCTGCCATCTCTGTCCCCTCTGTCACCCTCTGCCAGAGCCCCTGGGGAAGGAAACCACCCCCCTGGCACACGGGTTGTGCGTCGGGCGGCTTAACGGCGGGAAGAAAGTGATGATGTTTGAAAAAATCAGGAATTTTTTATAGTGGAAACTCCTAGACAGGGAAGTTGGAGAGGAAGGAACGGGAAGTTCAAAGCGAATTTGGGGCTTTCTGGGCAGCGAGAAGAGCCAAGGGGTGTACGGGGATTGGGGGCACTGAGCTCTGTTGGCACTGGGGTAGAAGATTTTGCCTTTTCTGTTGGTGTGAAAGGTCTCCCCGAGCACGTGCTGAGGGCAAAACAGATAAACACCTTTTTTTCAGAATGAAGAAGGCTGGTGCTGCTTCAGCTGCTGGGTATTTCCAGCTGTTATTTCCCAGTTGGTTAAGAAAGCAGAGGAGAGGGCTCAATGTCATGCCCGGGTGACGGCGGTGTGTCCTTCGGTGGAAGAATTTAGTTGGGGAATGTGGCTGCTACTGCATTGGGAACCACAGGAGCCAGCTGCCAAGTGTTCCTGATGAGTAAAATGTAAAAGCAACAGCAAAAAATCTCATTTGGATCCTGGGTTGTGCCTTCACTTGCCATTCCTTTCTGGGGAAAACGCGTGTGGAAGGGGCTCTGGCGGAGAGGGGGCTTTTGGTGTCGCCCCTTCTTTCCACAAATGAGGGAAACCAAGCTTCAGGCTTTGTGTTTTACTTCACCTGATGTATGTTCTCAGCATAAGGTAAGCAGTGGATAAGAGACCCTGTGACTCCCCAGGGCTGGACTGGGGTAGCCACGTGTGATGTGCAGAACTTATCCTGAAGCAGGCAAGAATATCAGGCTGCTAAAAGAAGCCATGGCTTTTTTCTTTGGTTAAACCTGTTTTGTTAAGCACACACAGGGTTAGTATTTAACTTTTGTTGCTCTGAGCTGTAGATGTGCAAAGATACATAACCTCACGATGCTTTATCCTGTGTTGTTGTGGTGTGTGCACCTTAAATACTGATGGGTTTTGTATCATTCATAAATCCAGCCTAGAATTAGGTTGGAAATCCTATATCTGTGCCTTGAAAAGCAGGTAGGACTTTTTTTTTTTTCTTTACCCTAAAAGACCCTCCAGCCTTTACTGCAGGTGTGTAGGTTCGGTAGCTGTTCGCTGTGCCGTGAAAAGAGAAGCAGGAGGGGAAAACTCTGCTTTTTTTTTTTTTGGCGTCTCACCAGCCTTAGAGATGTACGTGCGGAACGTTGAGCTGCAGAAAGGGATTTCCAAAGTCAATGTGTTCTGACTTCTTAAGGCTAAATAGACCATGAGTTACGGGGCTTATCTTCTTTCCAGTGCCATGATCAAAATTCAGATTGCTGCCGCTGGACTGGGTCGCTCCTCGCATTAAAGGAATTTGTCTTTTTGTGCTGGCCTCCTTTCCCTTATCATTTAACTATTCCGTGAGTGTGGCTTAAATGTAAAATACCTTCCCACCTTTAAGACAAAGGTTCTAAGGATTTAACCAGCTGGCAGGCTTTCTGTCAGCAAAGTTGTTCTAGGATATAAATCAGTGTGTTGGTCCATTAGAGATAGTGCTGCCAAAAATAAAAATGTGTCATCTTCACATTTCCACAATTATTCTGCATAAGGGTATTTGGGGATCCGATGTGTTGTGAGGATCCCAGCTGTAATTGTAGCTGTTAAAGTAAGGGAGCTGCTCCCTAGGTATTTGGGGATATGATGTGTTGGGAGGATCCCAGCTGTAATTGTAGCTGTTAAATGTTCTCATTCCAATAAGCAGTTAAAGTAACTTTTGGACAAAAAAAAAAAAAATCACTTTCTGGGCTCAAATGCTTATAGTTTGGGAAAGGGGAAAGGGAAAGTTGCAGTGCTGGTGGGTGGGTACCCACACTTCCATGGCACGCGTGTGCCAGAGAGGGGACAGGGATTGATATTCACTAAAGATTTTGCCACTCTCTGTCATCGGTATAAAATGCTTCTCTTTTTTTAATAAGTCAGTAACAAATAGGAGCTGACACGATCATGTAATCGTTGCCAGCGCCGCTGATTAAATGTGATGTGTGTGGAGACTGCAGGACTGGAGACACCGGTAACAGAGATACTGCCCCAGCTGGTTTGAGGGATAAAAAGAGAGTTAATCAAGGTATTTCACTTTGGTAAAACCATGTGGCTTATTAATGTAAATAATTGGTCAAATGGCACTCTTATGAACCCTACTGTGCTTGGGGGGAGCTGGAGCATCACCCCTGGGTGCCCACCACCCCGGGACCCCCTGGCTGCTCCAGGGCCAGGGGTGACAGGAGAGAGAGGAGCGAGGAAGGACGTCTACTGGCTCTTACTTTCTTGATGCAAAAGTCTGCTTTTTTTCTTCTTCAGGGCTGTGATCAGACGCCTGGTTATGAGGAAGTTATTAACGACCCAGAGGAACAAACCCACCCAATGGCTCGTTTTTGCCAGCCAGGCTGCACGGAGGGATGGAGTCCATGATGTGTCTGTGCCCACAAAGCAGCGGGTGCTGCCTGCAGTTGCCTTTTGTTTTGCTGTTTTTCACTTGCTCTGAATGATTGACCCACAGTGAGACCTTTCCTGACCATCTGCCCATCACATCTCACCAAACAGCACTGTCAAGGAAAAAGGTGTAAGTAAGGGGCATCCCCCGTTTGGTTTTGTTGTTGGGTTTGTACTTTATGGGGACAAATAGTTGGAAATGGGACATTTTACATTGTTCTAGGAAGGCAGAGGAACTCACAGCTCTAAGGCCTGTGCACAAAAGCAGTTGGAGCTGAAGGTGGGAGCAGCGGCGTCCAGGAAAGGACAGGTTTGGGGCTGACCTGCTGGAAAGCAGCTCTGCAGAGAGGGACCTGGGAATCCTGGTGGCCAACAAGCTGACCACGAGCCAACAATGTGCCCTTGTGGCCAAGAAGGCCAAGGGTCTCCTGGGGTGCATCAAGAAGAGTGTGAGCAGCAGGTGGAGGGAGGTCATCCCCCACGAAGCTCTGCCCTGGGGAGGCCCCATGTGGAGCTCTGGGACCAGTTCTGGGCTCCCCAGTTCAAGGAGGGCAGGGAACTGCTGGAGAGAGACCAGTGGTGGATATGAAGATGATGAGGGGCTGGAGCTTTCCTCTGCCGGGGAAAGGCTGAGGGACCTGGGGCTGTTCAGCTGGAGAAGAGCAGACTGAGAGGGGACCTCATCAATGCTGAGCAATAGCTAAAGGGCAGGGGGCAAGAGGATGCGGTCAGGGTCTTCTCAGTGGTGCCCAGTGACAGGACAAGGGGCAACGGGCACAAACTGGGACACGGGAAATTCCATCTCAACATGAGGAGGAACTTCTCCACTTTGAGGGTGGCAGAGCCCTGGCAGAGGCTGCCCAGGGAGGTGGTGGAGTCTCCTTCTCTGGAGACATTCAGACCCCACCTGGACACGTTCCTGTGGGACCTGCTCTGGGTGACCCTGCTCTGGCTGGGGGTTGAACTGGGTGGTCTCCAGAGATCCCTCCCAACCCTCACCACTCTGTGATTCTGTGAGAGCTACAGTCACAGCCATGGCAGTGCCATCCAGAAATGGTGCTGTGACCCAGCCATGCCGTGGGCTCTCTGGGACAGAGCTCTGCTCCCTGGAATAATATGGTGAGTCTCCTCCTGAGGGTCTTCTCACAGCCCTTAACACTCTGCCTTGAGACCTGCTCAGGTGTCGATTTCAGAGCCGAAATATGAGGGAAACTGATGGAATGGTTTCATCTTGTGCTTCATTAATCCGTGTAGTAACAATATCATACTTGATAGCTTGGGAAGAGGCAGCGTGATGCCTCCGTGAGCAGCAGCCAGTTTTCGGAGTTATTGTTTGTGCCATCAGTGAGGGCTTTAATAGCTTAATCCAGCTGGAAAGCAAGTAGATTTATTAGACTGTACGATAAATGGGTCATAATTGCGGCGGCAGTCCCTGCTAACTGCTTTGCCTGATACGGCATGAGAATATGATATACGACTAATTTCACCTCGAGTTTTGCAGTGATGTTGTGTACTAGATCTACTAGAAAAACTAAGGCACCTCGAGAGTCTCCTGAGAGCCCTCGGCAGAGGCTGGTCCCATAATTGCGGCGGCAGTCCCTGCTAACTGCTTTGCCTGATACGGCATGAGAATATGATATACGACTAATTTCACCTCGAGTTTTGCAGTGATGTTGTGTACTAGATCTACTAGAAAAACTAAGGCGAGAGTCTCTCAGAGTCTCTCTGAGGAGAGTCTCTCGAGAGTCTCCTGAGAGCCCTCGGCAGAGGCTGGTCCCGGTGCCTCTGGGGAAAGAAACAGGGATAAACCCATCGTTTGCAGCGCAGAACAAGGGAACATCCTCCCAGCATCTTAAAAAAAGTACTTTTTTCTCTCCAGTCTATATTTCAGTTACTCTTTGAGCTATACTAGATTTTTTTAAAAATTAATACAGGCTGACAAATGCCTTTTAAAGCGTGCAGCATATGCAGGAGTTAGGAAAACCAGTGCTTGTGTCTAGGACCAGCCTGAAGAGATGGGATGTGTTCCCCTGGCTCCATCACACGCCGCCTTAGGGCGTCTCACAGTGGATTCCTGGAAAAACTGAGGTTGCAGGGGACATCTGGAGATCATCTAGCCCCACCTCCTGTTGAAAGCAGGGCTCAGGCCGGGTTATCCAGCTTGAAGCAACTCGTCCCCTTCATTGCAATGAAGTGTGCAAGTTTTCTTCCATTTTCATTTTCTTTTCCCCCAATTTGAGATGATAAAACGTTCCTGATTGCATGGCAGTAAAGGCCCATGTGTCACTAAAATCCTGCTGTTGTGCAGGGCAATAGTTTATTCTGATTTATTTTATTTGGTCGGTCTGTCTGTCTGTCCAGGGGCAGGAGAAGAAATCTGTCCCTCCCAGGGAGCGGGGTGAGAGGGGGTGCAGTTGCTCCCTGCATCTGGAAGCAGCAGCTAAATCTGTTTGAAAACCTTGAAAATTGAGTATCTTCGTGGATACTCACACTGGTCATGCCTGATCCTGAACTTAGATGAAGATTTCAGTTTCTAATAAGAAACGATCACATCAGTATCCATAGAAAAGTGCTTTGGCTTTTGGAATTAACTATTATAGAGCAACAGACTTTGCTGCCTTAATAATAATAGATGTGTTGATACAAATAACACTGTATTAGGCTCTAATTGGGCTGGAAAACTGTCGGATAAGCTGCTGGGTATGGCTTCTTCACTTTATATTTTAGATCCTCTCCATCTAATCGTCCCCAGATGGAGCACTGGGAGCGGTGAGGATTAGACATAAATCTGTGCTAAAGAGCCAGTGGAGGGGCTGGTAATCTCTGTTCTGTTATGGGAGATACATTCCTTGCTGTTTGTACAGTTGTAATTGCTTGTTTTTTCCTTAAGTGCTAGGAAATCTTGACGATGCGCCATGTCTTAAAATACTAACTGAATACAGGCAAAATAAATGGAATATTAGAAGTGAGGTTTGTCTGCTGGGCCCAGGTTAGCATTCAGATAAATTATAGGCGTTGCCAGAATATTTTGAATGTTTTTTTCCCTCAATGCATAACACCTCCAGGTGCAGTGATTGGCAAAACAGCACTAATTTGTGTGTGTGATGGGGAAGGAAATGTGTAATGAGGGAGGCAACAGGAGGTGTATCCACGGAGCCACCACCAGCAGATTGAGGCCGCAGGTAAAACACGTTTGGGAAACACAGAGCTGTCAGAAAGTCAGATGATTCATAAATATCACATTTTAAGACGTTAAGTAAGCTTTGGCAAAGGATCTGAAGTTTTGATGTCGTTACAATTATCAAAAAGAATGTTCCACAGTTACTGAAAGTCATTCCGGAGTTCTTTGGTTTTTCCATTATCTAACACTGTAATGCCGAGCCCAAATAGGATTTTGCTGGGTGGGATAAACAGGAAATGGGGGGGAAAATATTCTGTCTGAGGGTTTGTGTGTAACTGAGTATAACTTTTAGGTTTGAGCATATATTGAGGTTCTAGTCTTGCTGCTTTATTTTGTTAAGTTGTGTGCTGTGTCTTCTCTTGGAATGCTGAGTGTGACGTATCTGCGATTGGCAGTCACTGTTCAGGGTGGTTTATTTTCCCCTGGACTAAATGGCTTAGTCTGGCAAAGAGGCTTCAAAGTAAATAGGTAGCTTATCGTTGTACAGCAGAAATCCCTGCTCTTAGTGGAAATGCTGCCTTTTCTCTTACCGAGCGACCACGGAGCTGGTGTGTCAGACCCTTCCCACCCCCCCGAGACTCAGCGGGCAACTTGCTGCTGATTATTGGTTAAATGCAGAGAATTTAAATGCAGAGAATTTAAATGCCAGCCCTTTAACTTGCTGCCAACCGGCGTGTTCCTGGGAAATGGACTTCGGTGTCTTGAGTCCTCGCTTGGTTATTTGTTTGGGAAGAACGTTTAGTGTTTTTAACCAGCTTCAAAGCCCTTGGTGCTCTTTGCTCCTGCGGGTAGGGGGGCTGCAGGACCGTGGAAACGGGGCTCGTGCTGCCCCC